AAGTCACTTTCGTGCCTAAACATAGCATGTTTGAGCATTGGGTAGACTTAATAAACTCAGGCTTGCAATCTGAGTTGCAAGTGTTAGAGAATATTGAGGTTTCTTTCTCAAGCAGAAGGCTCGAGTTCAATGGATTTAGGAGAGGGATATAGGGTAAAAGTTTTTTCACAATGCTATTAGTACTAAGAGGAAAAAGTATATGATTCGGGTGTTTGTGGATGATGTTGGGAATAGACTTGAAAGTTTTGAGGCAATGTCATTAGAGATGGTTTGGTATTTTGTAGGATAAATTAGTTATAAAGATGAGACTGTTCAGGTGGGCCTATATCAGCAGGGAAAGGACAAGAGTCCGGAACCTGATGGTTTCACTGCTGGTTTTTTAGAGGCCTGGAACATTGTAGGGAAAGATCTTTTGGGGGGGTTTTCATTATTTTTTTCAATTTTCAAACATTCTAACAGCTTTTAATGCCACCTCCATCACCTTGGTCCCAAATGTGGTCAATGCTTCGAGGCCTAAAGACTTTCGTCCCATCTCTTGATGTTCTCTAGTGTATAAGGTCATCACTATGGTTTGGTGTCTCGACTTGTAGAGGTTTTCCCTGATATGGTCACTCTGAACTAGTCTACATTTATCAAAGGGAGGGGTATAGCGGATAATGTCTTGCTTGCCCAAGAGATGGTTAAAGGTTATAATTGTAGGACTTTTTCCCTGCGTTAAACTATTAAGGTAGATTTGCAGAAGGCTTTCAACTTTATTGACTAGGGTTTTTGTCCCTGCTCATGGAGGCTATTGGTTTTCCTAAGATTTTTCAGAAATGGGTGAGTGCTTGTATTTTTACCTCTCGATTTTCTATTTGCTTTAATGGGACGCTGGATGGTTATTTTAAGGGTGAGAGGGGAGTGAGACAGGGGGACCCCATCTCTCCTTATTTGTTTACTTTAGTTATGAATATTCTTTCTATTATGTTGAATTCATCTGCAGCTTAGGGAATTTTTAGGTTCCATTCTAAATGTAAGAGAGTGGGTCTAGGGATGGAAAACGGGTACAGTTTCGTGGATTCCGTACCGCATCCGCTTCAATTGGGGCGGGGATGGGTATAATTTTAGCGGGTAGTGGGCGGGTGTGGATTTAGAAAGTGGTACCCCTCGCGGGTGGTGGGCGGGTAATGGGTTTGAGACATTACTCACCTCGCATCCGCCCGCCCCACATCCACCCGCCCAGCTAAATATCCATTAAATTTTGGACCATTATGAATTTAGGTGTAATTTTAGAGACTAATTTATAAATTCTAATATTGTATAAGATATAACATGTAATTTATCCAACTCTCCAACAAATAGCAAAGGATATTTTGGGCATTCCTGTCTCCACTGTCCCATCAAAATCTGCATTCAGTATAGGTGGAAGAGTAATTGGTCCTTATCGTAGTCGACTACTTCCGGAGACGATTGAAGCATTAATGTATGCTCAAAATTGAGTTTGGGCCGATATTAAAGGTAATATTATTATTTAGTTTATATTAGTTGTCAAATTGTGCTTAATTATCTTATTAAAGTTTAGTTACTAACTTATATTAGTTTTACTTTCTATTATATATGTAGGTAGTAGTGAATTTAAATTGGAGCGCTCTCAGTTGGAGGAAATAGAGAATGATGATTGTAATACTGGAGTATTATATGTCACAAATATTGTCTGAAATTTTAGAATGTTGTGCCAAAGAACAAAAACAATATGTGTTTGTCATTTATGTTTCTAGACTTTAATTATGTCATTTATTATGGTGTTTTATGTATTTTAAGATCTATATTAACACTTAACTTAGATAATCCTTGGATTATTTTATTATGTTTCTTAATGGACATGTTTTTTTTTTATGTTTGTTGCTTATGTATAACTTAAGTTTGCTGTCAGGCGGGTCTAGACGGGTACGTCGCTAGTAGGTAGTGGGTATGGGGATAGATTTGAGAATGTACCCGCATGGGCGGGTGTGGATTTGAAAATTTGTACCCATCATGGGTGGTGGGCGGGTGGTGGATTGAAAAATATTAGGTGGGTATGGGGATGGGGGAGGGGGTATCCGCACCCGACCCGCCCGTTTGCCATCCCTAAGTGGGTCTCACTCATCTCTGTTTTGTCGACGATCTCCTGAATTTATGTAAAGGGGACATGGATTCGATTTTGGGTGTGGTGAGTGTGTTGGATGCTTTCTATAAGATTTCTGGATTGAAATTGAATATTTCTAAGTGGGGAGTCTGTTGCTGGGGTGGCTCGTGCTACAAGGTTCCAGATTGGGAGCCTACTTATTTGTTATTTTGAGATTCCCTTGGTAGCTAAGAAGCTCACTGTTAAGGATTGTACTTTTTTGTTCATAAATATTGTTGATAGGTTAAAGGGGTGGTCTGGAAAGTGACTTAGTTATGGGGGTAGGCTCCATCCGATTCAATCATTTTTTTGTAATATCTTGAATTTCTGGTATAGGCATGTTCCCCTTCCTAAGGCAATGGTTAAAAGAATTGAGCATCTTTATTACATGTTATTCTAGAAGGGTTGTGACAGTTCTACAAAGGGAGTGAGGGTGAGTTGGGATCTTGTCTGTTCTCTTAAGTCTGAGGGAGGTCTGGGGTTGAAGAGGCTTGAATATTGGTATAAAGTGTGTTTAATCATGCTCATCAGAAATATTTTATCCAATCAGGGGTCCCTATGGGTTGCTTGGATTCATGAATATATTTTGGGAGGGACTAATTTTTGGTCTATTGAGAGTAAGGTGAATTTAGCTGCATTGTGAAGAAGCTTTTGAAATTGAGAGATGGTGTTCGTAGCAGCCGATGAAGGTCGACCGATCACTGCTAGGTGGGTTTGGGATGAGGTTAGGGGTAAAAGGGATAAGGTGGTTTGACAGAAACTGGTTTGGTACCCTTTACATGTTCTGAGGCATTCAGTTATCGTGGATGACTATTCTTGATAGGTTCCCTACTTTTGATCGATTGTAGAGAATGAGAATAATAGTTGATAAAGTTTGTCTGTTTTGTAAGCTTGCTCCTGAGTCTAGGGACCATGTTTTTTTGTCCCTTCACTATGAATATGTGGTCTAGTGTGTTAGGGTTGTGTAATGTTCCTTGAATGGCGGCTAGGTGGTTTGAGGAGTTGGCTTGGGCTGTAGCTTGCTTTAAAGGTAAATCTTTGCGGGTAGTGTTATTGAAGCTAGCTTGAAATGCGTTTGTGTACTTCATCTAGTTGGAGATGAACTCTTGTTGTTTTTGTGGTAGAAGTTGCTTTGCTGAGGAAATTTTGGATAACATTAAATTTGTTGTTCGTACACGTTTGTTGCTTATGAAATGGGATATGGCTGATATTGTTAATGACATGCTTTGTATAAATTGGGAGCTAGGTTAGTCCCTGGTTGAGGTATCACATTATGCTTTCTTGGATAAATGAAATGCAACTTATCCAAAAAAAATCATTTTGAATTTATTGTAAGACAAATTTAAATAAATATAATCTTACAACTAATAATATTTTTTTCATAAATTTAAATTTATATATTTGCATTTGTTTTTTTAGGTTGACTTTGAAAAATAGTGACAAGTCAAAAATCGTAAAACCGAATTGAACCAAACCGAACCGAATAAAAACCACGTTTTATATGTCATTTGGTTTCGGCTTTAATTTTTGAAAACTTGCAAAGTGCGGTTTGATTCATATTTTAGTGACAAACTGAACCGGATCGAACCGATACACCCCTACCCATACCCACTTAATTTTTTTATCCACCACCGACCCACCACCCACAATAGATAAATTTTTTAATTCAATCATTCCCACAAGTACATTCTCAAATCCACCCACACTTACTATCCAACTGGATACCCACCACCCATCTCGTACCCGCTTGTATTTGCCCATACCTATCTTGTAGCAACCTTAGAGATTTAATAAGCATCAAAATATAAAACAAACATGTCCATTAAGATCATAATAAAATAAACAAGATTAATCGGGGGCTTATACCCTAGCATTTGGTGAAATTATAAGTAATGTCCTATAAAATCTTAAGATTTATAGAATAGTCTCTGAAATTATATTTAAATTCATAATGGTTCAAAATTTATATGATAGTAATTAGTGGGCGAGCAGATGCAGGGCGAGTATGGTTTTAAACCCATCACCTATCCACTAATCATGGCGGGTATGACTTTTTATATCCACATCTGCCCACTACCCACTAAATTTATATTCATTCTTATCTCAATTAGAACATGTACGATGCGAAATTCACGAAGTTGTACCCATTTGTTAGGGGAGGGAATCCCTAGGAGGAGAGTAATGGGGAACTAAAAGCAACAAAACTAAAGGATAAGAAGACTGGACTCCCTCTTAATCTGGGGGGTTATAAAAACACAATTTGGTGATCTAATTCCCCAGCTCAACATTAAATACAGAACAAAATGACTCATATTTCATAATTTTTCATTTTTAAATAATATTGTGGTAGCCACTTCCCAATTTTTCATTTTTAAATGATACCGTGGTAGGTAATTCTCCATATACTGTTAATCTTGCTTTCTATGAATGGATCAATGAAAGAACTAATTAGATGCAAAGTAGCTTTCGATAATTCTAAAAAATATTAAACCTTTAACTGATTGTATAGGTATCATATACTTTTGTTAAAAATATCTATTCAATATATGTACATCGGATAAGCTCGATGAACTGGTTCACCATTGTTTTCATATACCAAATTAATGACAAATACACATGCTTGTCAACTTGATATTAATTTAGTATTTTGCGTGCTTCATGTTAGTTTTCAGCTGATTCTCGGTAACAAGGAACAAGTTAATGAGCAGCTGGTAAGCATTAGTCGCTTCTCTTACAATCAAACCCTCCGTTTATGACCTTTGAAATTTGATAAATTAATTAATAGATTATACATTAAAATAATCTCAATAAATATGTCAATCCCGTTTCATTATTCGTATACTAAAACAATAGTATATTAGCCAATTAAAAATATTTTTACATTATCAAAGAAACATCAATATACATTGATGACAAGTCTCAAATTTGACACATATTATAAAATATCCAATATTATAATTTACATCTCTGATTTTGGATACATTATTCCCCGTTTGTTTGAAGTCGATGTGGGACACAGGTTTTTTAAACTAGGAATAGCGTTCATCAGATCTTCAAGTGCAACGCTGGCAAACCATCTGTTGGCAGCTTCTGTGTAATGGATACCATCCCAGTTTATGTGGGAAGAAGGATCTTTGCAGCATCGTTCCAATGGCGGATAACCGCAAGATTTCGAAGGATCGTAGTTGTAAACGTCTCCAGTCCCGCAGCATGCCTTGAGTGTTTCTTTAAACCCTGAGATCGTTCAAGAAAATTCACTGTGAAGAAGTCGGATTTTGATGATATATGGATTAAGTGTTCTTGTTTAAAAAATGTACCGAATTGCTCCGGGGAATGGTAGATACGGGTTGAGGTATCGTAATAATCGACATAGATTATGTTGGTGTCGGGATGTCGGTTTCGGAGTCCGTCGAGTTCTTTTCGAAGCAACTTGTTATGGTATTTGGAGAACTGATTCAACCATGTTAGACAACCGGTCAAGGGATCATATTGATCCTTGCTTGAGTTTTGAAATCTTGTCAGCAAAGATGGGGAGCATCCAATTGGGAAGTTTCCGGGGACCAAAAATGTCTCCGCCCCTAACTCGATCAACTTCTAAATATTTAGTGATGTTAGAGTTTTACCCAAATTTGATGTGACACAAACTAAGACCAGTGATTCTTACATTGATCGATGAAGTTATAACATCGACAACAAGAGGGACAAGTTGTCGGATTTTCTCAGTGTTTTGCCCTTGCAAGAATGGATGATTGTAATCATTTCCTCCAATCTCTCCCATCACAATCAACGAGTTCCGGAGGAACTCTCTGCAATCTATAAAATCAGAGCATATTAGAATTTGAAACAAACGAAAAATTTGGCAAACACAATCCAAAAAAAAAAAAAGCTTACTTGAAGAAGATGAGCAAAGAGATGGCAATAGATCTTTGAAGGAATTCACTTCGACTCCCAATGAAATGTTGGTGGAGACACTATAGATTCCTTGCTCCCCAAGGAAGGAAGAATTGAGAGCGGTAGCACCCGCCACTGCAAAATTCACTCCCTTTTGAAATTCCTCCAATCCTCCACTTTTTGATCCATAAAATGGTGGTAGAAGGGGAAATCCCAATGCTTCAGCTGCAAAACCATGTTGAATTTGGGCACGGATATTAGACAAGAATGAAGAGTCGGAGCAACAAAGATGATCGATATACTCACCAAGGAAATCTATAACCAAGCGGCCGTCGCAGAACCGCCCGGTCGGACGGTGAAAATAGGTACGGCCATATGGAGGAAATGCAGCATGAGGAAGCCTGCTGGATTCTGAAATCGATATCCTGAGTAAGTTGCCGGTATCGGTTAAAGAATCACCGAAACTGAAAATCGACGTGAAACATCCTATCACCGGTGAACCAAAGCTGGTTACTGTTACAAAGACAAAGATAACAGAAGTGAAGTGTTGTTTCAGCCAAGAACATGATGCCATTGATGCATATATTCAAAGAGAATTTCTTTTTGCACCTACAGCTTTCAAATGTGGATATTTATATTTATACTTCCCCACCAAAAAATTCATTTAATTATCAGAAAAAGATATATACTCCTTATTTAACCTTGTCAAATGATACTGTGGTAGGTAATTTCAATTTATTTTTCATTGTAGAAATGTATATAAAAAGATACGCCTAGTTCTATTATCATTTTGATATGACAACGTGGTAGGTAAGTTTCCATATAAAGACCGGATATCTATAAATGGATCAATGAGCAAATGAATTAGTTGCAGAGCAGCTTTCAAATGTTATAAAATATTGAATCTCTAAGCAATTACGTATCTCTTAATTAAATCTTTTATATAAAAGCAGAATAATTTTATTACTATATCATATATTTGGGTTGAAATATTAAAATTATTTTATAAGTTTTGGATGCGTAATGGTGGGCATGAATGATGGTTGGTCTGTGGATTAATCAAGCTGTTGCTGATGCAATCCATTGTGGAACTCTGAGAAAGGGTTATTCTTAACTTATAATTGTGCTCGTGCCTTATTATTTATCAATTTAATTCTATAATTTTAATTACTACTTAAAAAAAATCACAACTAAAATTTATTATTAAGTTATATACTAAAACATGGTATAAATAAAACTTGGAATAAACAAATTTGTCCACTCGTGAACACTAAACGTAAAAGATCCAAATATATCTATCACAATAATGTCTACTATAGACCATGCAAAAACTACTTATTCTAAAACCGAACACCGTTTCAGTTATTGCAAAAGAGGCATAAAATTGAATATAAATTCTTGAAAAGAAACGAATCCCATGAGTTGTGTTTTCAGAATGAGACATTTCGATTCGTTGGCGACCCTTCTTTTTATATATATATATATATAACCTTTTCATTTGTCCTTCAAAGTTTGAACTTCCAATGGCATCCGATAAGATGAGTAACATGCCCGATTTCATTCTAAGTCGCATCCTATCGTTTCTTTCCATCGAAGATGCAGTTTCAACCTCCATTCTATCAACCCAATAGCGATGTATGTTTGCCTCACAGTTTAATCTTGATGTTGATTTCGAAATATTTTGGGGGTTCTCCTACACATACTGTTAAGAGCTTTACCACCTTCATGGATAAAATGTTGTTTTTCCATACTGAGGGAAGAATCCAACAATTTCGATTCAATCGTATCGATATATTAGGGATTGATGATTCACGTGTTTGTGGATGGATATCTGCTGCAATTCGCCGTGGAGTTAAGGATATAGATTTTGTTTTTTCTCTACCGTCCAACAACATTCCCATGTTACCTACTGCTCTGCTTTTTACATGCAAGACGTTGGTGAGATTGAAAATGGACGTTCCATTTGTAACACCACAATCGCTTGGCATGAAAACTAACAGAGGCAACCATACCCGTCAATTTCCCATCACGAAGGCAACCAACAGCGACAAGATGTTTTGGTTCAAATATTTTAGAGCCTTTTTACGAAGTTTTTTTTGTGGCATTTTTTTAGTTTGGAGGAAAGGATTGACATTTTTTCTAGGGATGGAGAATGTTTTTTTTAAGGGGGTTCATTAAGTTTGAGTGGAGTAGAAGGCTGGCCTATTGCTTTAGGGATAGGCTTCTTTTTGGTGAGGGGTGGGCTAAACTAGTCTGATGTGTATTCCTGGATATCTTATCTCGCTCCTTCCCAATAGGTCGTTGCCATCAAAGACTTGGAACTAGGTGACAAATATCTCAACAAGTAACACAGAGTCAATAGAGCATGCAGACTAGACCAAAGCGACGAGCGGCTGCTGAGTTTGACTGGACATGGAAAGAATATGACCAAAGCACAGGTGGGTGCTACACCACTCCGAGTTGATACCTCGCCCAAAATAGGTGAAGAGATTCATGAGTATCGGGTGCACCGACCATTCACACGATCACGTCCTTCCGATAACCATGTCCAACTAGTCCCATCGGTGATGGGGGCTAACATGTGCTAGCACTAGGTGCTACCTTGCCCCTGATGGGTGCTAAGGCCAGCACCCCCGGGATGGGAGGGGGTGTCAGGCCACTACCCCCTAAAGAGCTAAAAAACTTAGGTAAAATTTTATCAGTAGACATTGAAATGTCTTAAACGAGGACACTTCCTCCATCACCCTTTTTGTGGCCACCCAATGGCATGTTTCCTGCCCATGACTTACAAGGCTCCCGCATCCAAGTGCACACTCGCTCCACTCCCATGGGGGCGTGCATGCACACTGCACTATGGGCCCTTCATACTGTGCGACGAATGCACACCCCCAAAGAGCCCCATGGTGCGATGTCTGAAATAAGGACACTTTTTTCCATGCACCTCGGGTGTCGAGGAAGTAGCACCCTATGGAGTCCATCGAGGCTACTTGTTTTCTACCCACGAGAAGGCCTTGAACGAACCGACGAGACTTGATCTCGTTTTTGAGACATCCCCATTGTGTGTATCCAAACCAACTATGTGAACCCACAAGTAATATTCGTTTTTTTTACTCTTCGTCGAGACCATCCATCGAAGTCCCAATCGGGGCATTAGCACTTTTGGAATTCCCCATTTACATGGGGGAGGGTAGGGAAGTAATAGGGAGGGTAATTTTCCATCGTCAGAGCCTTATCTCGGTTGGCGACCGCAACTAATGTCCGTTGTTTCCAACTGTTCATCAAGGTCATCCATCAATTTCTCGATCGAGACGCTAGTGTTTTTCAAATTCTCCATGTCCACGGGGGAGGGGAGGGTCATTTTCCATCGTTTGGGCTTTATCGGAGCTCAAATTATGCCTTGTCGGAGCGTCGTCGGAGCACCACCGGGAACCTTGCCCATGGTGAGGGGGATTCGGTGGCCGGTATGGGGCCGTGGGTAGTGTCGGGTCATGTTGTAGTTGCAGAGTGTTCATATTCATGTTTGTTTGCTAGTCTCAAGACCCTGGTGCTTTGATCTACTAAATTTGAAGACGTTGATTCATTCAAAATGCTCTTTTCAGGTTGTCCTATACTTGAACGATTGACAATCTTCTATTATGACATGTGAAACATAGTGTCTTAAAATCTCAATCCCTTCACTTAAGAGTTTAACTTTATTTCTTAAGAATTATCCCCTTGATGACCATTCAGTCTGCCTAACATTTGTCATTGCCATTGATCTTCCAAGGCTTGTCTACTTCAATTACGAGGGATTCAGAGCAAAAAAAAAAAAAAAAACTATACAATGGTAAACATGCCTTCTCTTGTTAGGGCTGATATTACGATTTATGGAACATTAACTTTTACAACAGAAGTAGATATTTTAGTTGAGCTTTTTCAGAGAATTGGCAAAGTCAAGTCACTTCATTTGACTATCAATTCGTAAGCAGTGAGTTAATTTGTCATTTTTATTCTTCAGTATCCATGTTTTTTATGTTTCATTAAACACTTATAACTTTTATGCGCAGCTTCCTTTTTTGTCCCACAAACGTTTTGTTGCATTTCAAAACCTGCTTAAGCTAGATATTAGGATTGGAGAAACGAGTGGCAAGGGGGGATTCTCAAGTTTTTTTTGAATTCTCACCTAATCTACAAACTCTTGTTATATATAAACTATCATCAAACGAGGTATATATATATATATATTGACAAATGTATTGGTATGTAGTTTAAAATTAAAGCTTCTAACATTTGTTATTTGGTGGTCTCTAGGTTTGGCTTCCAATGGAAAATGTGCCTTCCTGTCTTGTACATCAGCTCAAGGAGTTTAACGTATTAGATTTTGAGGGTGAGAATTCTTTATTTAAATTGGCTACTTAATGCAACAGTTCTTGAGAAGCTTACAATGTGTTCATCTCAAATCTTGACGGCTGAAGAAGAATTGAAGATCACTGAAAAACTATTGAGTATACCCAGGAAGTCAAACAAATGTCAACTTATGGCTTTCTAACATTTCTTTTTTTTGTTTACTTTTAGACAATGATTTTGATCCTCTAATATTTATTTTCAATAATGCTCGATTAATACAATCGGGTTTGTTTGGTGATAATTTATTCTATTTACCAGCAATAGTTATTTAAGAATTTTAACATGTTTTCTATTGCTTACTTCTACAACAAAATACAATTTTAGCGGTGGTTTTAGGCCTCTAGCGGTGTGTTTAAACGTCGCTAAAAACATGTTTTTTTATTGTGAAATCACTCAAGATGTGAAATCTTAATATTACCGACTATCGTTTCCAAAAAATTTCTTAAAAGGTCATTAATGAAAAACTAGCAAATTTAGTATCTCTAATGGACAGATGAAATACTCATGCTGATAGGACCGTAACTTGTCCGATTCGATCAACCAGATGGCGATGTCTTTTCACCAGTAAGAGCGATTGGAACTGAAAATCCGATTTCGAATTGCTGTTTGTTCCGGTTCACGTTTATTTGACTAGCCTCAAGATTTTGGATCTTATACCTTTGGTTGGTTTGAAGAAAGGCTCTCTTCAAGCTGTCCTATACTTGAACAATTATCTATCTTCTACTGTGACATGGGAAACATAACGTCTGTTTTCGGGTAGTGGTTTCGAAGAGTGTTTTCGTGTCTGTTTTCTCCGTTTCCAGCTCCGATTAACGACAGCATTTGGGGAGGTTTCTCATATCGGCCAAAGCATCTTTACGTCTTACCTTGTATCATCGGCCAAAGCAGTTGTTATTACTTTCAATGGATTAACTAGCAGCATTTCTTCATCAAGTATCCATTTCATCATTCTATTTATTTCTACATGTATGCCACCAACAAATCATATAGAATTTGTTTGAATGGTTTCTTGTTGTTGGAGATCATGTTGTTGGGACAATTGGAGATCATGTAAATAAGATCATATTTTTATTGAATCCGATTCATTCTTACTGTAGAATTGAATTGAATGTACCCGTTAAATTACAGGTTTATTTTCAGCCCTACAACTGGATGTGTGGTTAAACTAATGGTGGACACAGGTTGCTGTTTTCATCAATTCTTCATAAGC